TTCAACCTAATAGCGATGGCCTCCAACCTAATAGCAATGGCCTCCAACCTAATAGCACTGGCCTCCAACCTAATAGCAATGGCCTCTAAACTAATTGCAATGGCCTCCAATCTAACAGCAATCGCCTCCAACCTAATAGCAATGGCCTCCAACCTAATAGCAATGGCCTCCAACCTAATAGCAATGGCTTCCAACCTTGTAGCAATGGCCTCCAACCTAATAGCAATGCCCTTTAACCTCATAGAGGTGGCCGCCAACCTAATAGCAATGGCCTCCAACCTAATAGCAATGGCCTCTAACCTAACAGCAATGGCCTCTAAACTAATTGCAATGGCCTCCAATCTAACAGCAATGGCCTCCAACCTAATTGCAATGGCCTCCAACCTAATTGCCGTCGCTTCCAACCTAATTGCCATCGCCTCCAACCTAATAGCGATGGCCTCCAACCTACTAGAAATGGCCTCCAACCTAATAGCAATGGCCTCCAACCTAATAGCAGTGGCCTCCAACCTATTAGCAATGGCCTCCAACCTAATAGCAATAGCCTCCAACCTAATGGGGATGGCCTCCAACCTAAGAGCGATGGCCTCCAACCTAAGAGCAATGGCCTCCAACCTAAGAGGAGTGAACGCCAACCTAATACTTCAGACCAAATAGCAATGGCCTCCAACCTAATAGCAATGGCCTCCAACCTAATAACAATGGCCTCAACCTAATAGCAGTGGCCTCCAACCTAATAGCAATGGCCTCCAACCTAATAGCAATGGCCTCCAACCTAATAGCGATAGCCTCAACCTTATACAGCAGGACGACAAAGTCATGAAAAAGTCATGCCCGCTTCCTCCTTCCCCATGTAAACTCTGCACTCAAAAAGTCATACCTAAGTCATGCCCGATTAGTAGGTCCCAATGTAAACGCAACGCAAAACAGAAGAATAAAGTGCAGTCATCAGCAGGAAAATTGCGTTTCCAATGTGTTTACCATGTGTTCAACCGACAGAAAACCTCGCCCGTACCCACTTCCCACACTGTGAACGCCGCGCTCACAGCAGATTTTTCCTGCGAGAGCTATTTGCTCCACACAGAGCTGGGGTGCGGCACATACCGCAATGAGCGGTTGTGCTTCTGAGTTGCGACCCAGTCTTCTCGCCTCTTCGAGGTACAAAGTAATTTGGGTCCAATCACTGTCTTGTAAAATGTCTCACTGAGCTTCTCGCCTTTGGCGCTCTTCTTTTTCAATTCTTGAAACTGCCAAAGGTCGAATCTGTGGCCGCTTGTCTTCTTTCCAGATTTGACAAATCCAGTCAGCGCAGTCTTCTTCCCGGTCAAGGTCCCACTCTTCAGGCTGCAGCGTTGCACCAGCAGGTTCGGCCGCAACTGACGTCTTTTGTTTCTTGCCTTTGGGCTCCTCCACTTCTGCCATGGGTTCTCCCGATTGCTTGGGTGGAAGCTCCTTCTTTTCTCATCCGAGGCTGTGGAAGATCTTCTGATTCTTGCCAACAGATCTCCGATGCCTTTTGCCAAGTCCTGCTCAGCTGGTTTCTGGCTGCCACCCTGACCGTCGCCGAGCGAACTTGGAGTTGGGAGCGCCGCAAAGAGAGCAGAAGCGGTCGGCAACTGCGACTTTCTGTTTACAATCCTCATTGCTGCAGCGCACCTTGGAGGGGCTGACGCTCTGGAGCACCCCAAGGACATTGGAGGTCGCTGTTTGCTGCTGACCAATGTTTCCAGGGCCTGCTTTCTGGGACGAGAAAATCTCTGTGGCTTGATTGCTGCCAGGCTGAAAGATTGTCAAGTCCTTCCCGCCCTGAATCCAGTGAGATTTAAAGGCTGCCCATCTGGACGCCAAAGGGCATAGTGCCTTTGTCGTATATGTGGGTAAGACATAAATGTCCACCTCATACCTTGATGCCAGCAAAATGACGCCCAAGGTGACGTGAGGCAGCGTCCCCCCCTGTGTCCATCACTAGCAAAGATTTATCTTTTTTGTCTGGGTGTCTGGAGCGAAGCGGCTTCAAGCAGCATTCTTCCAGCATGGATGCAAAGATGGAAGGCGTGATGCTGCCACTTGGGTGGCAATGGAATTTTGCATTGTCCTCAGTTGCGGCAAAGGACCTGGTAAGATCTATCTGCCCCAAATCTGTCTGCGTTTGGCTCCACTGCCTATCTGTTCCCTACAAACCAAAAAAGCACTTTCACAGCTCGAGCTTCCCAAATCTCTTGCATGCTCGGGTGCAAGCTCTTGAAGGGCACAACAACCCCTGGTGGAAAGGGTTCTCCAGCCATCGCCATCTAAGTGCAGACAGTTATATGTTCAAACGTAGTGACAGCAGCGGCAGTTGCTGTTTTGCTACGATCTGCATGTGTAGTGACACGTCTCGTGAGGCTGTCCGAACGAGAGCTGAAGCCCTTCTCGTCGCAGATCAGGATACGGTCTGAAGAATTACACCGTCTTTCATCAGGCCCAGCCTTGTCATCATCTCTTCGAGAACATCGAATGCGTTTGACACAGTATCAGGCTGGCAGGCTGCAATTTCATGAGTCGTTTTAGTGCGAACCTTCTCCAGGCCAATCTGGTCAGGCGGGGCCTGGGTCTTAGCAACCCACAGTTTAAAGTCCCGCCAAATATGTTTGTATTTGGAGCGCTTCTGGGCCACAAGTGAGAGCAACTCATCTATTTCCAGATCATCGTCAATCTCGCCGCACCTGGCAGCTTGAGGGAGAAGACTATGGCCAAAAAAAACACACACGTCACCCATCGTTAAAAATGGCTGATACTGTAACGCAAAACCCTACAAACATATTGATGATGCAAGGCGCTTCTCCAGCTTCATCAGGGTAATCGCGTCTTCGACCTGTTGGATGGTCAAGGGGCAGCCAGTTCGCTGGCTCCACTTCACAAAACAACAGCACATCCTCCAGCTCAGCCTGAGACAAACTTGCGCGAGGTGTCCGACCAACACGAAACTCTGCAGGACATTCCCAAGGTAACTTGGAATCCCCGAACAACTTCTTCAGCTTGCCCAAATAGTGTTTGTTCAAGCGAAGTTCTGGAAGGGCTTGGACAGCTTGCGCTGCGTTGTGAAAAGGCGGATCGCCTGAGGACATGAAGAGGAAGATCAAGGCATACATTTCCCATCTCTTTTGGTCACGCGCCACTGGGTTTGCAGCATACTCCTGGAAATCCTTTGTCAAAGCACAAATCGTGTATCCCCAAGGGAGATGCACCACAGAGTCCACAGAGCGTCCATCGTCTTGCACCTGCCGCCACGCAACAAGGCCCTGTTTAGAACCTGCAGCCTTTGCGTTTGTCTGCTTTGGAGCAAACACTGGTTGTTCTGGAAACAATTTGGCTGTGCTTCTGATCGAATCCGCTCCACTGCTCATGGTAGAACTTCTGCTTTTTCTTCTCACTGCCGTGCCGAAATGCCTGTATGCGGGCATACCACGACATCTCACTTTCCCGCTTGCGCTTGGCCCAGCCAAGCTCAGGGCACGCAACTTCTGTCAAAAGTTCTTTCTCGCTGGCAGGCGTGTCTTTTTCAAAGGCGGGCGGTGGAGTCTTGGTCTCCGCAAATTTGGCGTCGTCAGCCTGGGGGTCCATTTGCTCAGCCGTAAGGGCGTCTTCGACTGCGCTTTGCTGTTCGTAGCACTCGAAACAACATTTAGGCACAGGTGACTTGTTGTCACTCGAGATCTCCACCGCACACAAAACGCAAAGCGACTCTCCGACAACTCGCGATGGGCATGCATGCAAAGCTTTCTCAGCCGCAAAGCAAGCGCAGCAGTAGGTAGGTAGAGCTGACCGGTTCTGGCCAGAAATCTCCTTCTTGCAATCTACCTTAGGGTTTCTGCTGATGAGGAAGGCAAAGAAACGGTTTGATCTTCTGGGTCCATGTCATGCCTAGGCACGCATGTCTTGGGTCGCTCATGTGACTCAGCTGCCGCAGCTAATCTCTGAAGAAGCTCGAGAGGCGGTGGAGTAGATGGAGGTGGTAAAGGAGGATCGCCAATGACAGCGGATGCGTCCACAGGCGCAGCAGATTCTGAAGCTCCAGACGAAGCGCCACTAGCAGGTGCTTGGCCTAGGTGCAGCTGCTAGAGAAGCCCTTTGTTTTCAACAAAATTCAAGGTAATACAGCTTTTTGGTTGGAAAAAGTGGGAGCGGGAACGAGGTCCCACCGAGGTCCAAACGAGGTCCGAACGAGGTCCGACTTTCATCAAGGTGAGGCACTGCCCATCCATGTTACAACATCAACAGTAGAAGTAGTAGTAGTAGTAGTAGTAGTAGTAGTAGTAGTAGTAGTAGTAGTGGCAGTGCGCCTATCTTTCTGACATGTCCATTCTAAAGCCTGTCTCTATGCAAGGACTTAGAGTGACTCCCGCATAACTTGTTGTAAAAAACCATTGTTCTCTCCTACCAGGATACTAGGAGGCTCAGCTGCCTTGCTCGGAGCAGTCTCACCAGAAGCACCCCCACAGTGCTTCCCTTTCTTCTTCTCTATTGCAGCTGCTATGGCTTCATCAAGCTTTGCCCTGAGTGCCAGCTCCCTGTCGCTAGAGCTGTATTCTACTCCCCAAGCATCTAAGGCGCAAATCAAATTGGAGTAGGATAGCCGCGCGACTTTCGCGGAAGAAAGAAACTCTTTTGGCGGCATTCCCACAAACCACTACAAACGTGGAAAAGGCAGCGGGGCGAGCGCAACTTGCATGAGATCTTCTCAGGACACTCTCTGACCGGGAAAGCAAATGTGGATCAAGTTTGGATGTGAAACAAGGAAGATGTTCTGTGAAAAGCGTGGAGATGATAAAAGACATGCGCCACTCTGCCAGGGCCTGTGTGGTATGTAGACCCATATGGCAAACCTCCATGTGATGCGGTGACCCTTGTATGTTGGATCTGGTTGAAAAAAACACGCTTCCAAGCCGTTCTGCAGAAGCATTTTCCCCATAAGCAGTGTCGGCAAGTGCTCACACTTAGACACAAGAAACCCTTGAGAACTACGTCTTTGGCTTGCATTCAGCACACTCACAAACATCCTCATCGCCAAAGTTACGGCGAACACGACTGCTCAGCACCTTGAAAATAGAAATGGCCCCGCTATTCTCAATCAAAGCTTTGGAGCGTGAAACACCTAGGAGAATGGCCGAACGGTAGCAAGCTCCACAAGTGCTGCCATTGCAGCGCCGAAGTCCTTTCTTGCCAGCCCTGTACAACCACTTGTGAGTATGCTTTCGCGCACCACAGACCGCGCACTCAGTCGACTCCACAGGCCTTTGGCCTTTGCTCATGACATGCTTGAGCTTCTCATCATGCTCATCAACTTGCTTGGCTTCCCAAGACAACTTGTCCAATCGAGAGAACACATCAGCATGTTTCTCCCGAAGGTATTGGGCCAGCTGTTCTTGAGGCATTTCCTCAATGCAAGATTCATTTCGAACATTGAATGTATCACTTTTTGAATGCCCCACATCTTTCCAAAACAAAACATTGAAATCAAACGGTTGGATGACACAAATTTGCACAAAGTAAATGATGATAAAGGAGGCTTCAAACCCACAGCGCTTCAGCTGGCAAGCATCTGGAGCTTCTGCTTTCTCTTGCAGCTATAGACGTGGGACCTGCTCAGACACACAGTGCTATCAGAACGACACCTGCCAACATCAAACCATTCAGAGTGCTAGCAGAAGCAAAATAACACTCTTCTAGCTAGAGCCACTTCCACAGCCCCACTTCTCACTGTAGTCTAATTGACAGCGTCTATGGAAAGAAGTTGGGTCAAGGTCTTCCAAAATGATTCCATGACTGCCCTGATTAGTAGGAGCAGCCTTCTGAGATGACAAAGGAGAAGCTTCCAAGCACAGCCGCTTGCGAGGCGTCGACGCCGTGCCAAAGAAAGAAAGCAAAAAAGAAGGAAACAACTTGCATCATGGCATCTGATTCTGTACATCATGGGTCCCCTGCTTTGCCCTGAGTGTCCCTGGACATGAAACTGCTGTCTTCTAACCCGTCCATGCACAGCCAGAGTCATTGAAGCGCGTCATCGCAACTACATAGAAGTTTCCCACTGCAGCCATAAACACAAGGCCTGCCTCTTGCTAGTGTCTGTGTCTGGGTGCAGGAATGCCGACTTGCAAGTCGGAGCACCCAGGTTTGTCACGATGAGGGTAACCACTCCCCAAGCTAAACGCAAGATTTGAAACACTTCAACATGAAACAATGCATCTTGCCAACATCCTCTTTCCCAAGCTGAACACAACATTCAATGCAAAAGCAAAGAAAAAACTATGAATACAGTCCATCAAACGCATTCCCTTGTGTTTTCTAAAAAAGGAACGACTTCTGCAACATCCTCTCCCGCAACCATGTCTGATAAAACCTGCTTTGGGGGCACGACTTTGTCAAACAACAGTAGCAGTGGCCTCCAACTTAAGAACGATGGCCTCCAACCTAAGAGCAATGGCCTCCAAACTATTAGCAGTGGCCTCCAACACAATAGCAGTGGCCTCCAACCTAATAGCAATGGCCTCCAACCTAATAGCGATAGCCTCCGACTTAATAGCGATGGCCTCCAACCTAAGAGCGATGGCCTCCAATCTAAGAGCGATACCCTCCAACCTCAGAGCGATACCCTCCAACCTAAGAGCAATGGCCTCCAACCTAATAGCCATGGCCTCCAACCTAATAGCAATGGCCTCAAACCTAAGAGCAATGGCCTCCAACCTAAGAGCAATGGCCTCCAACCTAAGAGCGATGGCCCCCAACCTAAGAGCAATGGCCTCCAACCTAAGAGCGATGGCCTCCAACCTAAGAGCACTGGCCTCCAACCCAATAGCGATGGCTTCCAACCTAAGAGCGATGGCCTCCAACCTAAGAGCAATGGCCGGCCTCCAACCTAATAGCGATGGCCTCCAACCTAATAACAATGGCCTCCAACCTAATAACAAGGGCCTCCAACCTAATGGCAATGGCCTCCAACCAAATAGCAATGGCCTCCAACCTAATAGCAATGGCCTCCAACCTAATAGCAATGGCCTCCAACCTAATAGCGATGGCATCCAACCTAAGAGCGATGGCCTCCAACCTAATGGTTGCAATGGTCTCCAACCTAATAGCGATGGCCTCCAACCTAAGAGCGATGGCCTCCAACCTAAGAGCGATGGCCTCCAATCTAAGTTGGGAAACCGAGAGGCTTGAAAAGCCTAAGCAAGAGCTCCAGTCCAAGGAAAAAGGGCCCAATTGCTGTTTCTATTTTTTTAAACAGTCAAGTACCAAAAATATGTAGTGCAATCAATTTACAATCTTCACACAGTTGTTTACATTTATATACCTACATCTCCCTTTGTATGTATCTTCTATCGGTTGTTTCAAACAAAACATAACAAAACACAGTTCTTGGGGCAGGCAGCGGACATTTCTGTAGTGCAGCACTTTTTGATTTTTTTGGATAGAGTGGGGGAGATGACCAACAGCAGTGACACTTCACCCAAAAGAAACACAAGAAACGAAACGGTGCAAGACGGCACCCAACCTCCCAAAACAGCACCAAAGCGGCGCAAGGTCTTTGGTTGCACAATTCTTTGTTGCACTACTGAAGGTCCAAAGTGGCAGGCAAACCGAAGCGGCAGTTCTGTCTTTTTGTTTAAAGAAAACAACTATTTTAAACTACATCAAGCGACAGAAACTAGTTGAGTTTCACAAAACGACATTCATTTTACATTTATCTTACATACCCTGGTGTCTTGTAGCGTGCATGTGATCTTTTGTAGTTGATGCTGCCACAACAGGCAGTCTGATGCTGTCACAATAGGCAGTTTCAATCCCAACCAAATCAGTCTTGATGTACTATATATAGAATTGAAAAGCAGAGGACCACCATAATTGAACAGGATTTATTGTTTCCCCCAGTCGAACCACTTCTGATGACTCCTGCACAGTATCTCATCTTTCAAAAACAAGAAAAACACATTTGCAACCACCTGGTCCAAATCCAACTCAGCAAACGATGTGTCATTTGTTCAATTTGTACTTTGCCTAAATTTGCACTAAATTTGCACTCACCTTGCAGGCGGTCATATCGATTTCCCGCGCAACAGCCATCGATGGACCCACTAAAACCTCGCGCGTCGATCGGATCGCGCACCTGGCGTGTCACCAACTCGAGGCCGTGCAAACGCAACGTCACCCAGCCTTGGCGGTGAAACACATCGTGAATTGGCATGGAAATGGCGAGGTCCCGAGGTCCATGTAGCAGGTGCTTCATGGACCGCGCAAACTGCTGCACACCCAACCGAAACCGAGCAAGGATGAAAACCAGAAACACATCGCAAATGGTGGCATAAACTGCACACGTGACCACTCCGACATGAAACTCACTAGGAGCAATGTTCGCTACTAGGGGCTCCGGCATCGCTACGGAGCAAGGACGCTACTAGGGGCTCCTGGCCTTACTACTTAGGAACAAGAAGCTAGTAGAAACAAGTGCGTGACCACACCGATATGAAACTCACTATAGTGGTTGAGGTCGAGGTCGTTGGAACATCGGGTGACAGTCAACGCGAGGTCGACTGGCCAGGATGGCATGGATGCACAGCCTCACTGCCATGCTTAAAGAACAATTTGAAGCCAAAGAATGCGCGCAATGAGAAACCATGATATGCCTGGTGACACATGAGTTTGTCTTTGAAAGCATGACTTGATGCACTGGGAGACAAACACAAATACATATAGACGAGAGCTCAGTTTGCCAGATGATTTTGTTCTTTCTTCCAGCCTTACCACACCTCTGATCCTTTTACGGGGAATGAATGTGAAAGAAATCTCCACGATTGGAGGAATCCACAGAACAGTTCTGATTCGGCCCGCCCTATCAGAAACACGTAGATGGCACATCAGTTCCAAACCTTCGATGGCGACCGGACTTCGATGTCCAAATAAGGTCCAACCGACCTTGGGGGCCCTTGTGCCATGCATACCAGATCTGTACGACCTTTCGAGTGGTCTCCAGGTCCCACTTGAAAACCGCTTTGACCGGTTTCGTGAAGCCTGAAAAGTTGTTAGACCTTCACCAGCGAGGGAGCACCCAGTTCTGAAAGGGGGAGAGCAATTTTCTCGGCGCCCGACAACGAGGAGAGGAACCCAGTTCAGAAGCTGCTTTTCCACTGATCTTACCTGTAGACCATCTGGTGTTGAAGAACTGGAAGCATCGTATTTCCAGTCGAAAGAAGAACTCCTGTCGCATGGTTCAGGGTCTCGTGTATCGCTTGCACATCAGCCACGCTGCCTCTGGGCGGACCTTCTCCCTCCAGCAACTCATAGTGCAGCCGGTTAGAGCCAAGAGCCAGCTCTCGCAGCAACGCGCCTGCCTTGTACCGTTTTGGAGCTTTTCTCACACGGATTGGGCGTTTAAAAAAGAACACCTGATAGCCTGATGGTGATCAACTCGTGCACCTGTGGTGATCCCCCCTTTCCTTCTTGGTACACGGAGGAGTCGGGTTCTGTCACATCAGTGGGTGGTGAAGGTAGCATCATGGCATGAGACGTCGCCGCGTGGAGGGGTAAAGTCACATGGAAAGCATGGGTGAGTACATCACATCAGCACAACTCTCTATGTTTCGAGTGTGACTGGGACTGGGAGCCCACGCCTGTACATTTACAGTACATGGTTTTAAGATGTTGGACTGCTTGGAAGACAGCAACATGGACTACTCATACTCATCAGGGTTCTTTCCCAATGGCCACGCAATATGATGTTGTTTGGTGCTGGGGTGCTGGTGTTGGGATGCCCAAGCATCCAACCCCACGGCGAACAGCAACTATGTTTGACCCTGCAGCTTGCATTGGAGCAGGGCAGCCTAAGGTCTGAATTCGAGTTTCTCCTATACCAAACAGGCCTTCAAGGAACACATGTTGTTGAAGAGAACGTGTTTTTGGAAGGCAAAACCCTGTGATGCATCTTGCAAACGTTGTTTTTGTCGCACGTTTTTGTCGCACGCTTGCTATAGTTGGTCTATAGCAAAGCCCCCGCATAGCCTCTGTATATATAGGCTCCTACATTTAATGCAATTGGGACAAATTCCTACATCCTCGGAATTGGTAATAAGATTAATAAACCATTGCCAAATAGCTCAAACGTGCGTGTGAATGTGCTTGGAAACTCTGGGACTTGCAACGTGATGATACTTCCAGACTGCGCAACTTGGGGGTGAACTACTACTTATACAATTAATTATACTATGCAATAGTTTTGCTGTTTAGAACACCCTGAACATATGCGATCACGAGCCTCAAAACCCTTGTACAAACTCCAAAACGCTCCCCCGGGCTGGCCCGGGCGACTGCTATGGATCTCCAAACTCTTGGCGGTCTACACGATACATAAATTCTCATGCTGAGAACTAGAACTGCCCAATTATTCCATGCTTGAAGGGTGAGTCGTCACTTGTTCATTTGACGTCACGAAGGAAATGCACAAAAAAAGAACTAACCTCCTGTTGCTCGAGGACAATGCTCATTCCACAGACCTCCTTCTAAGGCCAGGTCAGGCTTCAAACTGAGGAACATCCAATTTGAAGATAGCACAACTTATGTGGTCAAGAATCAACATCACAAAAATAAGGTCAAATTGTATCTGTTCATATCTTTTCATATATTCTCCCCCCGCCCAACAAACCACCAACCAGTCCGTCCACCTGCAAGCGCTTTTCATAGGCCGGCGACGTCAAGGAACTTCCCGAGCGTACGAGCAAGCCGCCGCTCTTCTGTCCACCCACCACATGCCACATGCCAAATGGCGACGTCAAGGCCAAAGAACCGAGAATGGCGGTGGTGGTGGTTTGGAGGAGGTTTGGTCAGTTTGTTGGGTCTGTTGGGTGAGGTTGTGAAGGGCTTGAAGAGTTGGGAGGGCTTGAAGAGTTGGGAGTGCAACAGCGTGCATGTGACTGTGATGCTGGTTCCGCTTGATGATGCTTAAGCCTAATCCCGAGTACCGAGCACCTCCCGCCCTCCCCCAAAAAAATCGGAGACCACTAAATACACGATATCAACGAAACAAACCAATACACGATCGTGGATGTTCTTGGTTTGGAGTTGATTTTGTTGATCTGCACAATCTTTGAGCTGGAAGGGCTGGCACATTGAACAGCAAAGCAACGGTCGACGTACTCGTGTCGGACCCGAGTCGCCAGGCGGAAGGTACCGAGGGTACCGAGTCGCCAGGTATCCAAGAAGATGAGGCAGTCGACCAAGCTTTTCACCATGCAGGTGTCAAAATGCATCCAAAACCCACATCAAATATGATACTAACCTGAAGCTGTAGACTTGCTTCACTTGCTTCTTGTACAGCTTTGAAGTTCCGATACGAGAAGATCGAGAATACTTTGTTTCAGGAAACATCAGGATCGAACGAACCCGGGTCTTGCTTTCGATGAGCTTTAAAGCACCGATGCACGTCCCTCATCTCTGAACCCGCAGGTTGAGGGATGGTGGAGACTTCGTGCGAACCACCCCTGGGGGGGCCCCATGGCGGACGCAGCCATGGGTGGACAGACCCAAATCGATCTGGTTCATCGGCCACTTGGCCTTGTAGTTCGAGCCTTCGGCATCCTTCGGCATCCTTCGGCCAAGATTTACACATGATGAACAACAGACGGATTTTCTTGCCCCTTTCTCATCCAGCTTAGGAGGTTCAAGTACTCGGTTTTGACCACCATCTGTCAACACCGCTGGGCACAAAACGCGTCCTCAAAGATTCCTGACCAGCTGCGCGAGAAAAACGAGCTGCACTGCGGGACAGGTCGACCTGGTTCTCAATTGAAGGTGGATAGATTTTGGACCTCCCGAAATCACTGTGTCAAAGGCTGGGAGTGCCAAAACCTCTGATCTGCAAGTGGGGGTCCTGGTCTCCATCCACCAGTCTCCATCTGCACAGAAGCACCAGAAGCACTGTGAAGAGGTAGGCTGGCACAACCACTTGAGATGACATAAAGCTCGTCTACCTGTTCCCTTCAACACTTTTGACATCTTTTGACCACATCAGTAACTGTTAACTGTTGGATAAGCAAGCAAGACCCAATCACCTTTCCGGAAAAGGAACACTTTCTACGAAACAAACACAAAGAAGCCGCATATTAGCCCGTTGATAAGGGGCAGCAAGAAAGACTGCTTCTACGTCTTCAAACCCCTGCAGCAACAAACGGTCTGAGCCGCAAATGCTTCTCCGATTGACCTCACATGATTTCGTTTCCCGTTGGGATGATACATCTCTGGCTGTTGTAGAACTTGTCTTGCAAGCCATGGAAGGCTGTCGGTTCTGCCAGTGGCGGCAGTATCTCCTGTACAAACGTCTCGTTACATTCATTTCACGTCCTCCAACTTGGAACTCATCCAACCAACCAGATCAACATTCCTCCAATGCCGATTCCAGGTCTTCATGTGCTGGAAGCTCCAGGTTTTCCGGAAAACTGCAATCGATTCACGACCGGTCCACGTCGGAAGTTCGCTCCGTCCTGGCACCGCTGCCAGTATTTGACAGGGCCTGCAATCGGGCGGCGCAAAGGACGGCGCGCGCAGCTCTGCGCGCCCGGGGATTCGGGCGCGCCTTCTGGTCACTGATGAGGAGAACATTTGACCTGAACATTTTGGGATGAGCCTGCGGGTAATTATTGAGAAGACCCGCAACCTGACTGGTGTAGCAAGCACTGATGTTCTACTTAATCTTGATTATTGGCTTGCACCAAAAAGGGACATAGCACTGGAAATAGCCCTTCCCTGTTTTGCACTCCCCCTCCCCCCCAAAAAAAATGATGTTCTGCATTCTTCACCTGCCACTTCGTAGTTTGGACATGTTTGGACCATTATCCTGTTGCGATGATCTTTCCAAAAGGTATGCAGGAGGGTCCCTTCAAGTCCTTTACCTTCAGGAGAGAGAGAGAGAGAGAGACAAAAAACATGTTCACATGCCTTCTTGCTTCCCAACAATGTGTACTGTACATGCCAATGTTTGAAGCCACAAATGTTCTTTCGCACAAGGACTTTTGATCTCTCTTTGTGGGTTGACGCCCATTGACGAGTACCCGAATGCCCGTGCCATGGGTTTTGAAGCCGGACGCGTCTCGTAGCGCATGTTCTTCAAAGCCAGTGCGCCCTCAATGGAACGAGCATCATTAGTCACCTGAGGGCAGTGAATGAGTGAATGTAATGTAAAACTACTTCAAGAGAGGATCAACAAGTTTGCAAAGTCATGGTCCCATGGTCCCGGACCATTCCCCGCGCCCAACTGAGGATCGCACGCTCTTGGCAGAGCAACTGATGGCCGTGCCCAATGCTCGGCCCGACGTGCTGCCTGGAAGATGGAATTCGGATGGATGCGAAGTGGGGTCCGCTGCTTTTCAGCAACGAACAACCTCAAACCGTCAGGAGCATCCTGAAGTGTCTACACTCTGACGAACACATCACATGGAAGTGAGTGGAAAATGGCCTCTTGGAAGACTACTTTCCTCTACAAACAGTGAGTTTTCCACTTCCATGTTAGTGAGTCGGAGTGTAGACACTTCACCCCACTGGCTTTCCGCACCGGGAGAATCGTCTTGCTCCCAAGCCACCCATCCGATCGTGGCTCGTCCGATCACGGGTGGAGCTATGGGGTCGGAGATTCGATCATCGGATCCTCAAGCCTTCACCTTCTCCACCCGGCTTCGGCTCAGGTCGGGGAGGGACATCGCCATCCAACATGAAAGCAAGCACACCCAACCTACAGAGGTTAAGTGACCTGGACCAAATATGGCTCGTTCCAAACATGGCGACAATGCGTGGGCGTTCGTGTCGACCCTGTCTACTCTCGATCACTCCTGTGACGCCATACGCCATGTGACGCGAACACCGTGAACCGCGCGCCATACGCGACGCGACGCGCCTTGCCGAGAGATTGAGCGAACACTGCTGCGGTCATCCTGCTCGGTCTCCACCGATTCGGTGGCCATCTGCTAAGACATTCGGTAGCAGGTCTTCAAAGACCTTCCCAAAACACACAACATCGAGGTGTCTTAAAATCCTATTGTTTGAAAAAGTCCTCAACAGCTCTCAGTAGGGCAAAGTGAAAGGGAAACAGCCAATCGTCTATGACTGCAGAGTTAGGTGTTATGCTTGTCAGAACTGAACTGAACTTGACATGTAAACTACCGCATCAATGTCAGTCATAGTCATAATCATAGCATTGAAACAATCTGCATTAATTAGGAATAAAGGCATTTTCGCCCTATTCAGGAGTGATTGCCTTTCATTTGGGTCTGGTGGAATCATGAGCCGACTGAGTGGAAAACAAGTCTCTTGCCCGATGGTGCCAAACCCAAACCCAATTCAATGACTCCCAAATGTAATGAAAACTCCTTAATATGAAACTGTTCTTGGGTTACCTTGACTATAGAGGGCCTCCAGCGACATCCTGGCTGGCAACATGTCACTTCAGGGGCGATTGCGAACGACCTGCGACCTGCTGGTGGACCCGCGCACCCGACTGACCGGCTTCTCTGACGCAGGGGAACCCAGCGTTTTCTGTATGGTGGAGCATCCTCCTTTTCGAATGGCTCCTGAACACACATGAAAGTTGTCTAGGTTCATGACGCCTACACTTCTCACCCAGCAGTACCCAAAGTTCTTATCTGGAAATGCAAGCAAAGCGGCAATCACACCATCACTTCCTTGTTTTACATGGGTTGAAAAGCACTCACAAATATGAGGATTGGTCAAACCAGGACAGCTTGGTTGACCTACCTGAGGACCTGGGAAGTCAAACTACGAGGGATTAGGGATCTGTCAAAACCCACAGCTATATGAGCAAGCAGCTCAGCAAGTGCGTAGCACAACATAGCACAACATAGAAATCGAACATCATGGGCATCGGGAGACGCCAGAAAATTACACCGAGGTCAATCACGGTCAATCTACCCATCACCAGCCATATAATCACCATGATGCAATGGCCGGCCAAACCTAATAGCGATGGCCGGCCAACCTACGACCGCGATGGCCTCCAGCTATATAGTAGCTTCTTGCTCCTATTGCTCCTAATCTCTTAGGAACGAAATGCCCTTGTTACGTTCGTAGCTTCTTGTTAATAGCGGTCTCCGACCTAGCGGCCTCTCACCAAGGGTCCTACAGGGCGAAGCGGCTCTCCAGTCCAGTGAGACCGCTTCCCCTCGGTAACGAAAGGACAGATCTGTTCCACATCGATAAGAGAGATTGTGGAAACCTGGTTGATCTATTGGTTTGATTGTTATGTTTGGTTGATCTAATTTGATCTATCTATTTAGTTGGGGGACCATTATATACTATGAACTTCATTGAAGGTGGCATGATCGGCAGATGCCTATCCCCGAGGTGCCCATCCCCGACTCCCGACTCGCACCTGCAGCCTCATTGATGCCAACTGAGGCGCGGATTGGGTCTGGTGCTCGGGTGTTCCGGGTTCGTGCTCGTCACCTGAGGCCCTACCTGACAGGAGGGAGAAGCTAGATGGACTTTAAACAAACTGTTTCGGCCTCAAGAACATCTAGACAACAGCTAAGCTAGGGCGGCTAATGGTTATTGATGGTTCATGGTCCGATCACTCTGCTTACATAGGGAGCTCAACTAAAATTTGTGAACTTCTACTCACACTGGGTGAAAAAGTTCCGGGTCAGGGTGGCCACAGCCGACATCAGCCACCTCAACCTCGAAAACTGCAACATCCTTTTGCACTACGTGTAGACTTGTAGATTCTCAAGAAAACATATGCAATGAAAGCACGTTCTGTTCTTTTCACCTTTTCTAGCAGCCTGATCTACCGGGCTGTGGCATGCAACTCTTGAAAAAGGTGTCCACCTGGAGTCCGATCTCCTCCGCTGTCCTTTTCAACCGCGCTTCCGGAGCCCAGAGGCTCCCGACAGCAGGAGACGAAGAGGTTGGTAGCAGTCTGCGGACAGGAAGAGTGACATCGAGAGGGGCGGGGTCTGACGCGACCATCCGGCGGGTCTGGCGTTGGCCGTGGCGTTGGCTATCAGCTCGGATCGTGTCAGTTGAGCCATATTGAGCCATGTTGAGCCATGTCGATGGTCCATGTGGGCGACGGTCCATCGCTCTGATCTACCGTGGACAGACGCGGTGGGCGGGGGCTCCTGATTTGGGAAGAACATCAGTGCCGTCAGGCACAATGTAGCACACGTCAGGGCGACGCCTCGACAAACGTATTTGACAAGCATGAGAGTCTCATCTATGATCCCCAGATTCTGTCCGAAGGCTGTCTCCTCATCTGGCAACCAACTTTCGCAGCCAGACTTCTATAAGAACTCTTCCCGAAGCTGACCAACTCCAATCTGGCTCTCCCCTGCACTCGACTCGCGGTGAGACGTTGTCCCGGTTTCCACCGAAAGACTGCGATGACGAGGCAATGACGAAGGAAGGGACCTCCGCCTTGAACGTGGGGTCTTGCGCACTTGGTGGGTTGACAGCAGTTTTGTGGGGATCAAGACAGAACAAATCCCAAGACTTCTCGAACAGGGGACTTATGCCGTCTATTGGAGGGTTCACTATCCATAACACAGGAAGACCGCCTGTTGTTGACCAGCAACTGCCCTGCGCAGGGCCTATTGCTCATGAATCCCTGCAATTAACAAGCAAATACCATCTGAATCAAGGCCTTCTTATGATAAAAACCCCGTGTCGGCCAAATCAATGACCGGCCATGGGGTCGAACATCGACCCCCAATCTGTGGTAGTTTAGTCGACTAAGAAACCCTCCAACGTTGTCAAACAACTTTAGAGCTACGCCTGGGCCTACCGACCTGGGCTTGAAGAGACAATCATACCACAGCCAGCCGAGCCAGCACAGCTTGGTGAAGGATATTGAAGGATTTCACCAGGATTTCAGACATGTCGAGACCCTTTTGCTACGTACTCCTGAGCTGCCAGATGCTCACGTGATGCCATGTGGCCACACACAGTTCAGGTGAGAAAGTAAGTACCCCAGGGTCCCCTTCGAACCCGAGTCCAGTCCGGTGGCAAGGGCCACCCATGGCATGTCCCGCACCTGAAGGGTTGAATCTTCATCTTGCGACTGTCCCTGGCCGAAAGGAAGGATCTCGGAGATTCCAAGAACATCTGCATTGGATTTGGGAAGAACGTCTGACTTTCTGTCAGATTCGGAATGTCCCTGTCATCCTTCCCAAGTAACTGCTATGCATGTAACTGCAGTGAAACAAATCAGAGTCACTGCTATCATGCTGCACTGAATCATGCTGCAGTTCATGGGGAGGCTCACCATGAAAGAGGCTGATCAACGCCCTAAGCTATGCTGCACTTGATCCCGAAAGGCGTCTGACCCCGCGACCCGCTTCGCCCAACGTCACCCGCAGGTGTCCACGATCTTCACCTGGGCTGTTGGGGCGCGGGGCGAGGTGACTGGGGTGAGGTATGGGCCTTTTCTATCAAGGACTGGGGAGCAAGGGACGATGGATTCACTTGATGGATCAACTTGCGTGTTTCGAAGCAACAGGCAGCACCGAATTTCCAGTGTGTCTATGTGTGTGTGGCAGGGAGCAAATTATATATATACCCTGGGGATCAAGCGCCAAGTTTAACTTCGGCGCAGCCAGTGGGAGCGTGAGACTAAGTTTAACTTCGTCATGAGCGTGAGACTAAGTTTAACTTCGTCGTGGGTGTTTCAAAGGATCCACAGATCAACACTTCAGCATTTCGAGGATCATTGATGTTGAGTTCATGACTTTTACATGTGTTTATTTATTTTGTGTTCCACTCACTGGTGGCCATGGCTTGGAGCTGGAGATTGGGCATATGAAGAAGGCTATTCAGAAAAGTCAGGAACCCAGTGACATCCAGTGAGTGGCACCACGGTCCTCTCACAGCTGAACCCAGGGAAGCGAGAACTCCAGCGATGCGACTCAGAGGAAGGTGCCATACCATGCCATACCCCCTATCTTCACTCGTGTGTTTGAAGTCTTCAACTCTGGTGAATGTGTTTGGTGGCTTCTTTGCCATTGCATATCTTTTTGCATGGCTTCAGCTCAGACTCCATATGCCGGGTACAACATTTAACTCATTTAAGAATTTAAGAACATGTTGAACATTAGGGTGAAAACTTCACACTGTCCGGCAGCATCGTTCTGTTTTTGCCGCTGGATTCCGGAGTTCGCAATGCCGGCATCCAAACCTGACGAGCAAAGAGTCCAGCTGTTGAAGGCCGTTGTGGATGGGATTGTGCACTGCAACCCGGTGTGTATGTGTTTCTCGTTGAATAGGGTGTCTTCCTGTCAGGCTTTCTACGAGGATCAGCTTACCAATGATTTCCGCAGTGAACGGTTCTGGGCCCTAGCCAAGCAAAATGGTTGGTCCCGCACAAGGTTTGACAAGTGCATTGAAGATGGAAAGGTCATGCCTGCAAATTTTGTGTTGCTAAGCACTGGTCATCAAAACAATCAATGCACTTCAACTCGCCAGATTCCAGAGACGTTTTCGTTCCTGGATGTCCACTCCAAGAAAGGGTTGAATGAGGAGATGGCAAAACCGACATGTTTGGTGTGTGATTTTTGTTGCTTCACTTGTTGCTTCATAGCGTATTCAAAAAAACATACAGAAAATCTTAGATGCCTAGATTTGCTCGGTGTGGCAGATGCAGTGCGACCGGAACACTGCATTCATGATGGAATGGTTGCCATCATTTGCTCTCAACGCTCCAACTGAAAAAGAAGTCAAGGTGGGAATAACTGGTACGTATATAGTTTTATGTGTTGAACACAGTACGACGTATTTTCTCAGGTGGCCTTGGTAGCGATTGGCCGTGCGCACTACTTGGCTGAGACCAAGGATTTAGAGGATATTTAATATTTTGTTTTATATCTTATTGCACAGATTCCACCTGTAGATCTTGCTTATTTCAGGAATGGGCAACCACCGAAGGCAATCTACACCGTGTTCTTGCAGGGAAACTACTAGCACGGTGGTCAAGAACAAAAACAGCAAGGCTATCGTTGGAGTTGTCTTCCAACAAAATGTTTTGTTTTCTCAAGTCAGGTCCAAAGATTGCAACATGCAATCACTGAAGCAACTGATCACCCTTATCTTCGAGGATTGGATAACAAAAAAACACACAGAATTAAGTTTGGTCATTTTCTAATCGCAGGACTCTGGAGTTTCGAGACGCACACGGTCTATCCGGAAGCCTTTGAAGAAGGCTCACTGTCCAATGTGTGTTTTTCTTATCCGAATTGTCCAGTGGTCTTTTTGTTTATCAATCTGAGGTACCCAAAGAAGAAGAAAAGGAAAGGAACAAAGAAGGAGAAGCAAAGAAAGAAGAAGGCCAAGAAAAGACTGAAGAAGGAAATGACACAACGAAAGAAGTGCAAGAAAGTGCAGCAGAGGATGAAGAATTTGTAGTGGAAGAAGAAGAGGAAGAAGAATGCTTTGAGGATGACTGTGAGGTGGCTCCGGAGTCATGCCCAACTGGGACTGTGGTGGATCAAAATGAACCCGAAGAGACACATGAACTATCGACTTTGCAGGCCGAGTGCGAAGCTATCCAATTGAGCATTGCCGAGAGCGCCAAAAAAATAGAGGATACGGAGAGGCTAGCTGAGGAGATAGAGACAGAAGCAAACAAGTTACAAGAACTAGTTGCTCAGAAGGAGGACGAAGCCAAACAGATCAGAGCAAAGCGGGCAGAGGAGGCCGAGAAAGTGGAGAAGGTGGCGATCGAAATAGCTCAAAGACAAGGACAACATGTTAACGAAATCCGAGAGCTTGTAGAGGCAAAGCTTGCACAGGAGGTGGAGCATGAGCTGAGCAAGGCGGCTGATCAAAAAGAAAAAAGAAAGAACACAAGCAGCAAAAGGGCCTCACGACCAGAGCGGGCAAGAATCCCAAAACATGAATGACAATGAAAAGGAGATTGAGCTGTTCGGAGTACGATTCCGAGAGCCAGAAGCCGCAAGGATCAAACAAATACAAGACAAATTCAACAAAAGGATCGAGGAGGCTGCACAGGCTCACGAAGAAGAACGTATTAAGAAGGAACGGGCAGACGCCAAAAATCTCCTCGAAGAGTATGAAGCAGAAAGAAAGGAAGCGGAGAAGGGGATGACAGAGAGTGAAAAGTCTGCGCACAGGAAACAACAAGGCGATCTGATGGCAGAAAGGTTTGCTCTCATGAAGGAACTTGCTATCAAGAAAAGGGAGACGATGAAGATCCAGGAAAGGCTGAAGGCATATGATGAGAAACTGAAAAGAAATGCAAAAGACATGCAGACGGAGAATGTTCTGGAAGATGAAGCCGGCAACAAAGAAGGGGAAGACTTTGACGCAGGAGAAGAAGAAGAAACACAGCTCAAAGAAAAGGGAACATTTCAGGAGCGATCTTTTGTATAACTGTTCGCTGGTTTAGCAAAGCAACTTGACTCACAGGACACAAGGCCATTTTTGGAGAAGATCCCGGACCTTCCTGACCAGAAGATCACTGACCCGGAGGATCCTATCCAAATTCTTATGGAGGTGGGGTGGAAGATGAGTTTTTGTAATTGAAATAAGGTCTTGGATGAACATGTATGGCAACTTGTCAGGCGCAAAAAGATCTTCGAGAACAATTGCGAAAAAAGAAAGCAGAAGCAAAGGAGGCTGCGAAACCAAAAGGAAGAGGCAGAGGACGAGGACGAGGACGAGGGAAAGGAAGAGGCAAGGGTCTTGAAGAGAAGTGCTCTGAGACAAAGGATGCAAAGGAAACTGAAGAAGAAAAGCCTGAGGTAAGTCCTGGCGCTGAAGCACTCGAGGCTGTGGATGCAGAATTGAAGGAGGATGTGCGGGATGATGATGAAGGTGCTAAAAAGACAAAATCACGCAAGAGAAAACAGTCCAGTGGACCAGCCCGTGCCAAGAAGATTCCAAAGAAGGATGTGGAAGAAAAAAAATAAAGACAAGTCTCAAGAAGCTGAGGAGGAAGCAACACCTGAGGCAGAGAAAGAAAAGACGGGTGCATCAGAAGACAAAGAAGAAAAAAAAGAAGAAGAAGAAGGTGGAAAGAAAAAACGAAAAGCAGAGAAGAAGGCACACCAAAACATATCAAGCGATCCATTATGTGTTATGTTTGTGCGCGCAGTAAGAAACACATTATAAATGTTAATCATTTTGTTCAATCGAGGAACCCTCGGAAGCAAGCGCGAAGCGGAGGCAGTACCGCGAGGACTGCTTCTCACTTTTTTCGGATTGCCCGGCCTCTTTGTGTGCACTGGCAGGAACTTCGTGGAAAGAACCTGCAGGAAGCAATCTTACTCATGTCCAGGGGCAACAACATGTTCCGCATTGTACCGGACCAGAACAAGCTGAACACAGTCATGCCAACTTCTTAAACCGTGTCAGATGTTTTTTTTTTTTTTTCGAACACCTAGTCATGCATGCCGCTCTATTCAATCGATTCAATCAGCCTTCTAGGTCTTGGACGATTGACCCACCTGAAGAACTGCTAGAAGTCGGAGGGGATGACCCTTCACCAATCCAAACACTGCCGGAAACTAATTGTTATGTTTGCGCACGTTGATCAACATGTTTCGACACTCAGTGACACTCGGCTCAGGCTGACTGGTGCCTTCTATGTGTCCCACGCCGATGACACCATTCTGGGAGCTATCAACACGCAGTTCAACAAGTCTTTCCAGGAGCACCGAAGCGAGTTCCCGAACCGTATGTGCCTTTTTGGTGAGCGAGAGAGAGAGTGCGGCCTGGTCGCCAGGTGAATTCCAACGGAGGGGTCACAGTCACGTGGAAAGTGAACGGTGGCATCTTTACAGCGTACCTGTCTCAGTCCAAATAGAACTAAGCTAAAACAAACATGCGACCAACATCACTTGGTTAAGGTGGGATTTTGCTCGCCGCATCGCTAAGTGGCTGAAGCTATGAGATCTGAGTCTGAGCCACCTTTTGTGGACCATGTCTAGTGACATGAGCAGTCTGGGTGGGGGGGATAATTCCGACTAGATTGAATTTCAATTGAACGTTGTAGTTTCTGGCTTTGTTTGATTGCAAGGACACCCCCCTCCCATGTGGGTTTCCTGATCCATGGGATCAATGTTTTGGACAATTTGAACACGTAGCGGATGGATGTAGTGCACATACAGGTGTGAAGGGGTGTCAGGAAAACAAAGGTAGTTCTTGCCAGCAATCGTAACAATTGATTGAATGTTTGTCATGAATGAATGCATCATGCGGACATTGCTGACTGCGTGACTGGGACTTCACAGCTTTTTGGCCAAGCCCAGGAACCAGCCTTGATCGAGTGTGCAGGTAGCCATGCCCCAGCAGCCAGGTTGGAAGACAAGCCATCTGGCGTTGACGCTATGTGCTGCCCAAATGCTTTTGCATTTGGGAGCC